AGAGTGCCGTGGCATCACGCTCACAGCAACCTCCAACTCCTGGGCTCAAGTGAGTCTCTTTCTAACATCTTTTGCACTCGAACCTGTGGACAGATGCAAGATGGCCATAGGCTGGGGTGCAGGCTGACCCCCCCACTCTGGTCCTGAGCACCTGGGGCTGGTATAAGACAGACCCTCAGTCCTGGTCCTATGGAGTGGATTCTGGGGTTCTAGGGTGGCTGGCTCTGTCTGGGCAGGTTTCCCCTGAGCTGCTGGAGGTCCCTCTCCAGCCCAGCTGCCCTGCCACATTCTTAAGTCCCACTGGCCATGGGGATGGAGGATCTGACCAGGTGTCAAGTCCAGCCCTTAGGGCCCACCTAGTTTCCTGAGTGCCCCTCTCTGGGCCCAGCCAGCGCCAGTATCCTAGGGGGTGGGAGCCCAGCCTGATGTCCAGGGAGATGGCCACTGACCTCACAGCTCTGTCACACCCCTGGCACCAGCAGGGGGCAGTGTGGCTCTAGGAATGCCCCAGTAGAGGCAGGCGGGGTAGTGGCTGCTTGCCCAGTCTTTGGGACTGAGCTGGAAGTGGGTGGTGGGCCTGGTGATGTGGGTCCCCAACACGTCCCTGCAGACACAGGGCCCAATGCCCCCGCTGGCCCAGCATGACAACTCAACGTGTGGACCCCTCCCCTTGTTGCACCTCCCTGCTCTCCAAGCTCCCACCTTGAACAGGGACAGAAGGTGAGTGACTAGCCTCAGGGGAGGCTCCTGGACCCATGTACCTGCCCACATCCACTCTCCCTTCCTGTGGCTGGGGGTGCTCTGCCTGATGGAGATAGACCAGCCTACCCCCAAGCTGATGCCAATGTGCTGTGAGCTGGGCCAGCACAGGCTCCTCTGTTAGCCCCACCCTGGCCAGGGAGAGGTTCAAAGGCAGGCCAGCCAGTGACAAAGACTGGGAACATGGGATGGCCGGAGAGCAGAGGCCACCAGGCTTCCCTTCAAATGGTTGAGTTTTTAAAGCAACTTATAAGTCACTAATAACTACCCCCAGGGGCATGGTTTTGATGCAAAAATCACTCCAGTGAAAGCTCTAAGAAGGGCTGGGCCTGCAGATCCCAGGTACCAGAGCCCTTGGGAGGCTGGCATGGGACTTGTGAGTTGTGGGGCTGTTTGTCTAAGCTCCAGAAAGGCAAGGACACAAGTACTCCAGGTCATAAATCTATGAGTCCAGAGAGGCCCTAGCCTAGCTCCTTCCACCTAGTGGCCAGAGTGTCTGTCCATTCTCTCCTTCCCCCAGTTCTAGCCCACAGAGCTGCTCACCTGTCCTGTAGTCAAGCTTTCAGCTCAATATCAGTGACTGGGGGTGGGGTGGGGAGGGGAGGGATTAGAAGGGAAGGAGAGGAGGACGGGGAAAGAGAGAAAGGAGGGAAGAGAAGGGGAATGAGGGGAGGGAGGGAAGGGGAGGAGTTTGCTGTCCTACTCCCTTGCTAGGCTTGGGAGCTGCACAGCTGACTGGTGTGAAGATTCTCTGCCAGCCCCTTGGCTGTCCTGGAGACCATGGCCCTTGTGAGACCCAAGACTGTTCTTTGGGATGTCTTTCTCCCAGGCCCTGTAGCCTGGTGGACCAGCTGACTCAACTAGACCTGTGGCCCATGCCCATGCCAAGAGAGCATAATCTGGGAACCGGCTCTGCTTCTTGACCTCTGAGCTCATCCTTAGGCAATGAGCAGACCCAGTTTCCTGGCCCTTTGTCTGCCAAACTGTCTCAAAGCCCCCTTCTCCCAAATTCTGGGGGGAAGGGACAGGAGTGCTTCCTTCTGCTTCTGTGTCCTTCCATGGTGCCTGTGACACTGACTCTTTATCTGCTTTGACCCTGCTGTCAGTGCTTGGGCTTGGTCCTAAGCAGTCCTTGTGGCCCTGTTGGCAATGGGGGACAGGTGGAGAGGAGGGCGTGGGCTGTAAGACCTGATCCGGGCAGGGAAAGGGCCAGGCAGGCATTAGCTGGGTCTGCAGCCAGATGCCCACAGCCTGGGTCCTCCACCAGCACCTCCAGCTCCCCCTCCCTGTCAGTGCTGGCTGTGCCAGGGGTGGTGCAGCCCTGGTCACTTAGCCTGATAACTGGACCTCCAGGGCTGGGTTAGGCCCCTGTTCTTGCCAATGCATTCAGACCGGGCGGGGGGGGGGCACCCTGAGTCTGCCCAGTGGCCCTGTCTCTCCCCTCCACTGTCTTTCAATCATTTTAAGTGGGCTGGTGACAAACACAGGAGCAAAGCACCCCATACAACCACATAAATCACATTAATGACCATTCAGATTAAATCAACTGCTCCAATAGAACCAATTCAGCTGCCAAGGCACTGCAGCCCACTTTCCCTGCTGGAATTGTTTTCCCCGGGGCCCTCTTATGCCCTCGAACGTGGCACCACGTCCCTGTGGTCATGGATGAGGACAGGATAGAGATCAGGGGATGTGTCAAGGGCCAAGAACATGGCAGCCTCAGCATCCGCCTAGAGGGATGCTCCCACAGCAGATGCCCTGTGCTACTGCTGACAGTGAGGGACTCCTCTGTTCCTCAGCACAGCCCAGGAGCCTGCAGAACACAGGAGGCTGCCCTGTCCTGCGAGCAGCGTCCAGGAGAATCCATGCTAACTTCTTTTCTTCTTCCTCTTAAAATTCCAGCTGTGGTTGTGGGTGTGATGGACATGCAGATGATGCGGTAACAAGTTGCCACAAAATTAGTGACTCCAAACCACATGTGTGCTCCAAAGGCCCCTGGTTGCCCTTAGGCCTGGTGTGGCAGGCAGGCTCCTACACCTCCATGGAGCCAGCAGTGGCCAGGGGGCTCTGTGATCACGCGGCCACCTGACAGCCCAGGACACAACCCTATTGCAGAGTGAGCTGTCCAGTGTCCCAGCTCTGTTGACAGGTTGTGAGGTGATACTCCAGGGACAAGGATAGGGCTCCAAGGTGTGCACTGGCTGCTGCCTGCATGGAAAGGGGCCTGGCACACAGGTGGAGTATGTAGGGCAGGGCCTGCATGTATCCCTGAAGTCAAGATCCTGGTTGGGGGCTGAGAGCCCTGGTGACTATTTGCCTTCCAGTGGCCGTGTCCCCTACCTACTCGTGTGGGATGCAGTAGCTGGCACCCTGAGAACCAGGAGCCTACTGCACTGTGGTTGTTCCTGTGAAGGCCTTTTGCCCCTCGCAGAGAAAAGGCTGCTTTGATCTCTGCCCCAGAGAGGGGAAGCTGACCCATGGATGGTAAGTCTGCCCTGGCCAAGGAAGGTTCTAGAAGGGTCATCAAACACAGCCAGCACATGCAGGGCCAGATTTCTCCCAAGGGAGCATTGAGCAGCTCCACTCTCTGGCCAAGCTCTAATCTCTGACCAGATGGACAATGGGTCCTGCTGTGAGGGCTGGAGGGAGCCAGGGAGGCAGAAGGGTGCCCTGAAGGGTCTGTGCCTGTGGCCTTGGGACGAGCTGGTCATCGGGACTCCTACCATAGTCCCTGGGGCCTTCCCGGAGGTTTGCATGGCTCAGGATGGCCTCACTGTCCATAAACCCACCCAGTCTGCCCAGACCACAGGCACCTGAAGGTCAGAGAGGTGCAGGTGGGGGCAGCAGGGTCTTAGTTCTGACCTGGATGGTCTGAGCTGCTTTGCAGAGGAGTGGGTGGGTTCTCAAATGGGCAGACAGGACGGGCAGGCATGTTTCTTCTTGTGGAGTCTTTATTTCATTTATTTCTCAGAGATACCTCTGCAACCCTCCCTGGAGTAGACCTGCCAACTTCAGGGAACATGGGGGGCAGGTACAACCAGGGTGTCTCACTGCACTGGTGGCTGAGGAAATGGGGCGGGGTGTGGGGGTGGCCAGGGTTCATCTCTCGTTGTGACAGTCATACTGGGGAGGGGCCTTCACCCCGTGCAGGCAGGCCTTCTGCTTAGCCTGACTTGGGGCTCCAGGTACAGGACACCAGGCCCCACCAGGTCCTCTGTGGGCACCTGGTGGCACTGTGAAGCTGGTTAGGCCGGGTAGAGCTGCCTGACCAGCTCCCTCTTGTTGACCTTGCCCATTGGGTTCCTCGGGATCTCCGCCACCAGCAGGAGCTCAGAGGGCACTGCATATGGGGCTAGGACGTGTCTGCAGAAACAAGCATGGCCCGGAGGGTCTTATCTGACAAGAACCAGCTGGGTGACTACATGATCTCTGCCCCAGGAGGTGGCCGCTGTCCTGCAATCACTCTAGGACAGAGGCCACGGTGTGCAGACAGGCTGCCCAGAGCAGCCCCTGGACTTTCCACCCCATGGCCCAGCCCCCGCTGAGCTATGAGCACAATGGAAGCTTCTGGAAGGGGTTGGGGAGGTGGTGAGCAGGCTGAGGGGCGGCCTACTCTGCTCAGCATTCAGAGACCTGAGCAAACCTCCAGGTCTGCAGGCACTGACCATGTGCCCTGCCTCACTGCCAAACCTCGGTGTTTCCGCCCAGTGCTGTTAGGGTGACACTCGAGGTCTGCAGTCCCCACACAGCCAAGATCCAGTGTCCCACAGGAACCCTAGATGACTCCTTTGGGGTGGCTGGGATGTCTGGGTTAGCCCTCTTAAGTTATCTCCTCCTTCCCCTCCTTCCTTCCCTGTCTACAGCACAGCAACCTCAGCCTCAGGTCCTCGGGGACACGCCAGCAGGCAGCTGAGGCCAGGGCTGGGCTGCTGGGGGCACGTGTGAGCTGTGGGCAGCAATAGTCTCAGCCCTGCCCTTCGTGCTCTGGACATGGGGCGGATGCCCTGTGGCTGTCCCTGATGGGGGCGCCCAGTCAAGGAGGCGTCTAAGTCCCACACAGGACCTTCTCTCTAGTGCTCTAGCACTGGCCCCTCACACTTACTGTCAGAGCCTAGGCAACCTTACCAGCCCTACCCGATATTGGGCAGTGAGCCTGGCCTACATACTGGGGAGATGGGACCCCATGACCATGGAGCTTGAGGCGCACCTTGGGCCTAGCATCCTGGGCAGAGGGCAGCTGAGGGCAGCACAGCTGGACCCTGGTCCCTGAACTCCCCAAGGCACTCTCTGTACTTTTCTTTTCTTTTCTTTTTTTTTTTTTGAGACAGGAGCCTCAAGTTGTCCCTCTGGGTAGAGAGCTGTGGCATCTCAGCTCACAGCAACCTCCAACTCCTCGGCTCAAGCGAGTCTCCTGCCTCAGCCTCCCAAGTGGCTGGGACCACAGGTGCCTGCCACAACGCCCGGCTATTTTTTGGTTGCAGCCGTCATTGTTGTTTGGCAGGTCTGGGCTGGATTCGAACCCGCCACCTTAGGTGTATGTGGCTAACGCCTTAGCCACTTGAGCCATAGGCGTGAGCCTACTTTTCCTTTTCAACAAAGTAACTGTTTAGTCAGTGTGGTCGACCAGACTCTTCCTGGTTTTTGTTAAGCTGCAGTTTCCGCCTGTGGTGCTGCAAATCCAGGGGCGCCTTTGATTCCCCAGCTGTGCTGCCCTTGATTAGAGGAGGATTCCTACTGTTAACCCATGAATATCTTTAGTGCTAAGGAGAAGAAGGCAAGTTGGTGGAGGCAGAGAGGATGTGGGAAGAAGAGGAGGAGACAGCACAGGTGGAACAGAGTCGCTGCTGTGGACTGACAGCTCCCTCTCCAGCCATACCAGCTCCTGTCTGTAGGAGCCTCCCCACACCAGGACTGCTCAGGCTCAGTCTGGTGCCCAGGCAGGTGGAGGAGCCCAGAAGAGTGTGGGGCAAACAGGGCAAGTGGCTGTCAGCTGAGTGGGAGGGACAGTGAAGGGTGCTGGCCTTGGGCACCAGGGGCTCTGGAACAGGAAAAGTCCAGGACTGAGGCAGGGACAGTGCGCTGGGGGTCCCACACCAAGGGCAGGAAAGACACAGGGCCTGTGGTTCAGTCTCAGCTGTGCATCTCTGCCACCTCAGAATGTGGGCTCTGAACTGAATCTGCCTGTTCCTATACGCTGCCTCCATGGGGTACTAGACTGCATCCTCCAGGGGCCAACTGGTTGACTCTTCCTGGTTCTCACGTCCACCTCTGAGACTGGTAATGCTAAGGCCTGGATGGTTCTTGCCTGGTCCCAGGCACTATGAGTGTCCCGTGGTTGCCTTAGCCCCATGAGTGCCCCACCTGTCCTACCTTGCCCACTCTTTGAGCTCTCTGTGGGACAGCGAGTGTCCTTCTCGGAGGGTCACCACAGCTGTGACCCGCTGGCCCCAGGTCATATCTGGCACTCCAATCACAGCCACATCTGAGGACAGAAGAACAGGGTGGGACCTTGGGACCTGGCAGCCAAGCATACCCAGACTGCACAGAGTAAGCTGGCAATCTCTGACGGCCGTCCTGGAGGTCCTCGAGCAAGGCACCTGGTGAGGCTGGTGGGTCTTGCAGGGAGGGGGGAGGGTGGGCTCGCCACAGCATTCTTGGGGCTCAGCCTTCTCGCCACTTGCCTCTCCACACCCACCCCATTGCCATGGACATGCCCCAAGTAGATCATGCGGACGGGATACATGCCATGGGCAGGCCTGAAGCCTGGCTGTGGGCACCACAGGTTCCATCAGGGCCCCCATGCTGGTGGTGGGGGACGGAAATATGCTTCATGGGGCAAGGGGAAAAGGGTTGCCTTGTTGCGACTATGTGAGATTCAGCATAGTGGGCCACTCACCTACAATACTGGGGTGGCCAAGGAGGTGCCGCTCAACCTCTAGGGCGCTGACTTTATAGCCCCCACTCTTGATTATGTCCACTGAGGTCCGGCCCCGGATCCAGTATCCACCATCCTTGAACACAGCAGTGTCACCTGAGGAAACCCAGTACATCTGGTCACCGCACGTTAAGTTGTGGACCCCTGGCAGTCACCATGGCCCTCCATGTGGCCAGGGAAAGGGTTAAGTTTCATCTGTCCTGATTTCTGTTTAATATCACGCACTCCCAGGAGCACAGCTGCAGGCTGATCGCACCGCTCATTATGCAGCCTGTACTGCTAATGGCCTGTGACAAAGGCAGCGCCCGGCCCTACCCCCGAGAACCAATTAAACACACACACACACTCCTTCCTGTTTGCAGCACATTACAATGAAATTAAACTGAATTTCAAAATCATTTTCTCCTAAAGACATCTCTTTACAGTAATTAATGCTCACTTCCTTCTTGGCTGAAATGCCCATCAGCAGCAGTGGCTGCAAACACCTCCACCGCCCGCCCACCCTGCCCTGCAGCTGGCTACATCCATGGGGTTTGGGCTCCTGTGCTCTTAAAGAGAAAAAATCTGCAGCTTTTTATCTGTATTTAAAAATAAAGGGAGAGAGCACACAGCAGGGCAGGTTTCCCAGTCAAAACTGCCAAGCCTAGTGGTGCCATAAGCAGGAGGGGAGCAGCCCAGAGCATGTCCTCAGTCCTGAGTCTGAAGGACAGTCACGGAGGGCTTCACCTGCCTTCACAGGACGTGGCGGGGCAGCTGGCATGCTGTTCTGATAGGCAGACTAGCAGGAGCATGTCACTGGGGCTTCCAAGTCCCTACCCAACCTCTGCTGGCATCTGCCACACAGAGGTACCCTCCAGGCGCTATATGAACCTGTAGGGCATTTCTGGGCCTCTGCTCTGGGGGCTCCCTGGATGCTCACCTCGCAAAACCATGGAATGCACCCTGTACCCACCTGGCATGAGTGACCAGGATACCTCAGAAGCAACACCCACACTGCTGCATGACCAGCCCTCCTGACTACGGGACCACATGCAGTAACCACAGCTGCTGAGGGAGTGAAAGCAGCAGCTGGGAGTGCAACCGCAGGGCGGGGAGCAGAAAGAGCTGCTTGGCACCCCACCTTTCAGCAGGGAGGACCCTCCCTGCATTTCTCCCCAGGCCCCACTCCACAGGGCTCACAAACTTTTGGGCAGCTGGGTTCCCCTCAACACTCTGTAGCTGTGGGGCTCCACATGGCCAGCCTGCTTAGTTACTCTGTAGCCTCAGCTCAGGACAGCCCCAGACTCCCTGGGTGGAGGATGGACAGGTGGCCACACGCCCACAGATACCAGTCTCAGTACAGCTTTGAAGGCCTCTTGGGGTCATGGGCCCCTGCCCACCCTGTCTGCCCATCCTGTGCAGTGCCCACCCCGTCT